TGGCAAAAATTGCTACATCATTTGTAAATCACTACAAATTGACTCTTCAAACTAGTTTACCCCAGCTTAGTATTTATTCTGAAGAGTTGGCTAATAAACTTTCAGATAGTAAAACAAAAGAGCAGGCCCGAAAAGCCAGAGATCAGGCCAAAAGACACTTCCAAGAGTTGGGATTGAATAAAGAACAAGCTGATACGCTTATTCCTATTCGAGCTCCTGGGAGACATGTTTATAAAAGAGATCCTATTAAAATTATTGCCCAAGATATTATAAAAAATAATCTCTCACCTGAAGAAATAAATGGAATAGTATATGACTTGGCTTCTTCTGCTCCTACTACTGTTGCAGAAAATTCTCGTCTTAATTTATTACGGAAAGAGTTGCGTAGATTAGAAGCTAATTATCTCATTACTGAGGCAACGAAAATACCTTTTATTACTGAAGAAGCAAATCAAATTCAAGCAAGAAAGTATATACTTCGTGGAATTAATGGTTACAATTGTTCTGAGTTCTTTTATCTGGAAAAGATTCAGAAAAGACTTAACAAATGTAATATTACCAAGTCTCCTTCAATGCAAAATCTAATAGATGTAATGATAATGCTATGTATATGATTGGCAGATGTAAAAAATCTTCGTATCAACCGATACAAACCAAGTCGTGAGTCATGGTATAATCCTGACTATTTTTGGTACTGTATTGGTTATGCAAAAAATAAAGGTGAGGTAGAAGAACTTCGGCTATTCCTTTCAATGGAAAAAAATCCAATACAAGCAAGAGAATTACTTATCTGAATTCAGAGATCAATACTGAATAAATTTCCCTTCTTGTTGAAAGATAAGAATGGGAATACTAATATTGCACCTTTTAATCAATTCTTAAATCGCTATAGAATTACCTCATATATATTAAGAAAAATAGGTGCCGATCATACTTTTAGAGTACATGGAGGTAGAAATGATTCCCGCCATCAATATTTACGGCAATTGGCATGTAGACATAAAATAGGTTATACTTTATCAGTTGAACATTATAGTGTAATGAATGACAGACCAAATACCCCAGCACCTAAACAAGAAAATAGTGAGGTCGAGGATATCATTGACCTATATAATTACTAATTG